GGATCACCAAAAACGCTACACACAAAAAGAGTAAGACCCTCAGCACATGCTAGGATCGTTCGTACGTGCTGTCAGCGGGCACTTCACACGCGTTGTTGCCGAGGCAAGACGAGTGGACGACGTCCACGGACGGCGCAGCATCACACCAGCCGACGGCGTAGTTGGGGAAGACTTCCCCGTCGGCGTACCGTAGGACGCAAACAAGACTTCGCCGATCACTTCGCCGGTCGGGCACACGAACGAGAGCGAGTCGCCTTCGCTGGCCAAGCCACCGATGATGCCGCCCAGCGCTTGCGCGCGGCCCCGCTGCGCCTTGAGGAGCAGCAAAGGCAGCGTGAGCGAGAGCTGGCGACCGTAAGGGAAGACTTTCATATTTGCACGAGGCAAATTGGGGTATGAGCTCCAGCCGCGACGCCGCAGAAAGGCCGAAACTCCCGCATCAATCAACTGCCACGGGTGAAACTCCCGGCGCCGGCACCGTCTCGGGCGGAAAGGCTGCAAGGGGAGTTTTGCGCCTCGAATTAGACGCGACTGGTAAGCACCGGAGGGCCGTTGCAACCCATCAGCTTGTGCTTCATGTCTCAGTCCGTTGCACGGCCGTGCAGTGGTGCTAGGGTCACGCCGTCGACGGTCGGTAGGGCACACACACAAGACACATTCCGTGAGTGTGGCTATGCAAGCGATGGGAAGCCAAACGGGATACCAGTCTCGTGAGCTTCTTGACTGATGCGATCTCGGTGTCGACGGCAGAAAGGTCTGACGCAATTGTTTGAGGGTGTCGTTGTGAAACTCCTCTTCCTTCGGACAAAGAGTACTATCCTGTGTAAAGATATGGCATCCCATGCCGGGCGTCGTGACTCCCAGGACCGACAATCCCATTGCAAAAGACCGTTCCTCAAACGTTGTGGCGGTAGGCAATCGGTTCGACCCGGGGTACTCTTGATAACCGATCGTTTCTACTAGCACGATACATGCAAGTCTCACACGGCGCTAGCTACCAGTGGTGGCGGTGCAACGACCACCACAAGCGATCTACGAGTGCAGACGACGTGCTGCAACGCGCCACGCACAATAAAAGATAGCTGTCGGATGCAGAAAATACACATTGAATTACGCACGTCGTGTACGACGTTGGCTTAACTGGACGTTGGCTTAACTGGGCGTTGGCGTACGCAACGCAGTCGTCGCTGGCGTCGGCGTCGCACACGTGGCCTGCACGGCCAAGTACATTTGCGTGCGGCGGCAGTTGTTGACAAAGACACTGTTGCTCGCACTGATGGAGCAGCCCGTCTTGCCCAAGCACGCCTGCTGCACGATCCGGACCGAGTTGGGGTCATGGCACGCGCTAAGAGCGAACGCACCGAGCTTCCCGGTTGGCGTGCCGTAGGACGCAAAGTCGATCGAGCGGACGGTCGCTCCCTTGGGGCACGCGAGGTTCATCATCGTGTTTTGTGCCGCGGTGCCGCCAATCACGAGATTGGAGATGCAGTCGGCCGACACCGCGAGGCTCTTGGCGACAGTCGGACACGGGTCCGAGAACGACCCAGTGCTTGCGAGTAGCGTGCACGTGCTCTTGCCGACGCACGCCGACGTCGCGATCGATGTGCTACTCGCGGCGTGGCACGTCGTGTCGATGGCGTAATCGGGGAAGTTGCCACCCGGCGTTCCGTACGAGGCAAAGTTGATGGCCGACATGTAGTGCCCTAGCGGGCACTGCAGCGTTGCGCTGCCGCCGTCGTTGACGATCGTGCCAATGACGTTGTTGGGTGCGCACTTGGCGGTCCAGTCGAGGGTCTTGGCCTCACCCTCGCACGGATCCCCAAACGTTCTACAATCGCGTGAGCTCGACCGTTGGATGCAGTCAACGATGTGCGCACTGGGTGGAGACGGACACGGCGCAGCTGTTTCGGCCAACGCACTGCGAAGCAATCTTGGCAGCGGCGCCGTCGGCGTTGCACGCTGCGTGCGCCGAGTAGTCGGGAAAAGTCCCGTACGGTGTCCCATACGCCGCGAACGGGATCGAACCAATGTACTGCCCCGCCGGGCACTGGATGGCCGCTGACCCGCCGTCCGCCACCGAGCCACCAATGAGGTTATTGTCAACGCACTTGGCGACGACCGAGAGCTGCTTGGTGACGCCCGGGCACGGATCGCCGAACTCGCTACGCGCACGTTAGGTTTCTACAGCGTGGAGAAGAGGTCACTACTTGCTGTCGGCCTTGACCGAGCACGCGTTGCGACCGACGCAAGCCGTCGTGACGACCGTCGCCGTGTCGGTTGCGTTGCACCACGTCGTCACAAAGTTGGGGTAGGTACCGGTCGGTGTTCCGTACGAAGCGTACGGGATCGATACGAGCCGTTGGGTCAGCGGGCACGCAATCGTGAGCGTCGAACCGTCGGGCACCGAGCCGCCGACCAAGTTGGCACTCGAGCACTGCGCGGCAATGAACAAGCTCTTGGTGAAGCCGGGGCACGGGTCGCCAAAGATGCTACACGGTGTGTGAGGTGCGAGATATAGACAATGCAAATCGTACCCGTTCGTTGCGTCCACCGTGCATGTCCGCTTCCCGATGCACCTGGCCTTGACAATCGACTCACTCGAGGCCGCGTGGCACTGGCTCGGCGCCGCCAAGCCTGACGGCGTGCCGTACGAGGCGAACGGAATGTCGGAAATGATCTCGCCACGAGGACATGTGACGACCGTGGACCCGCCCTGCGGTCCCATGCTCTGGATAAAGCCGGGTGTCAAGTGGGGCGTGCACATGGCGCGGGCGCTCAGCGTCTTGACCGTGCCCGGGCACGGGTCGCCAAACACACTAGACAATCCCTGAGTACGTCGCGCCACGTGAGCTATTCACCTTGGGTTCACGGCGACGTTGCAGACCGGTCGTCCAACACACGCGGCGGCGACAACGCCCGATGACGTGGCGGCGCTGCACGTGCCTTCGACGTAGTTCTTGGGCGTGCCGTACGAAGCAAAGTCGATCGAAGCCATGCTGGCGCCCCAGGACACGCGAGGGCGAGCGACGACCCGTCTTGCGCCGTGCCTTGGGCGGCGTCAGGGTCGACGCAGTTGACTTGGACGCCGAGGTACTTGGACTCGCCAGGGCACGGATCGCCAAAGACCCTACAACCAAGTGAATGGCTAAGCAATCAGCTTTGCATCGTACGTGGTGGACGCCATGATATCACACGCCTCTTGGCCGGCGCAGAGATCGGCGACCGTGGCCGCCGACGTCGGCTGGTCGCACGAGCCGACCGTGTAGTTGAGGAAGTGACCTTGCGGCGTCCCGAACGAGGCAAAGGTCACGTCGCCAATGACACGGTCGACCGGGCACCGGAGACGCAAGAGCGAGTCTTCGCCAGCGCTGCCGCCAATGACGTTTTCGTTCACGCATTGCACGGCGACACTGAGGTGCTTGGCTTGGTCCACGCACGGGTCACCAAACACACTAAACGGCACGTTAGAGCGACGCGTCTACATCACGAAACAGTACCTCGCGTCGGCTGTGAGCTCGCAGGACTGGGCCCCGATGCACTGCGCCTTGACGACCGCATTGGACAAGTCGGCGTTGCACGACCCGCGCGCAAACTTTGGGAAGCTGCCGGTGGGGAGGCCGTAGGACGCAAACAAGACGTTGCCGAGGATTTCGCCGTCCGGGCACGCGAGCGAGAGGACGCCGCCGTCGGCCGCCGTGCCACCGACGACGCCGCCCGCCGCTTGGGCCTCGGAGCGCTGCGCTTTCAAGAGCAAGAGCGGCAGTACGAGCGAGAGCGTGGGGCCGTACGGAAACACTTTCATATTTGCTCGGGGCAAATTGGGATATGAGGGTCGCCTCTCTCGGCACTTGGCGCCCGAAACTCCCACATCATTTGGAGGTCAAATATAGGCGGCAAGGACGCCAAGAATATGCTCCGTTTCGCTTTGCAAGCAACCAACGATGCAAAGCGTCCCCACGCGTGGCGCCAAAACCACCCAACCACCCACGAAACCGATGCCGCCTTTCTACGCGTTATCCAGCGTTATGTATTGCTATCAAACGCTTTGTATTGCTTGAAAACAAACTATGTGGTTTCACAGGTTCTTGATCCATGTATGCGTTCTGAGAGACCGCCACGTGCAATCCAAACGCACACATTTAGGCGACGATGGCAGGAACGCGGCTTATCCTGCTTGTGAGCATGCTCCTCCCGCTTCTCGTCGTGATCGCGCCCATCGCGTACCACTTGACGCGCGTCCCGCGTGCGGCGCTGCCGCTCGAGGCCATCGCTGCGCTCGACGTCGCCTCGCTCGAAGCCGCGCTGCAGGCCAAGCTGCGCGACGCCGAACGCGTCACGCTCTGGACGAGCCGGGCGTTTGCTACAGTGCCCAACGCACAGCTGCGCGTCGATGCACTGCCAGCAGTTGTTAGTGACGACCTGGATCGCCAGCTCTTGTCCGCTGTGCAAGCCGCCAACCTTGGCGGCGAGATTGTGGTCTTTGTCCTCTGTCGCGGCACCGACAGTAGCGCGCCGATCACGATGGGCAGCTATCGCCACGGCTGGACCGACGCGTGCGAGCTTTCGCTGTCGGCCCAGAGCGAGCTCTTGCATCGCGTGTTTCGATCCTATCGCGAGCCCTCGATCCGCGTCGCGTTGAAGTACCGCTGGAGCTTCTCGCTCTTGAACGAAGTGCCTAGCTGGGAGAGCGCGTCGTGGGCCGCCCACGTAAGCGACGTTGCCATGGCGTACGTTGAGCCACTCGTCGCGAAACTCTCGGCCCTCGCGTCGTTCACCCTCGAGTCCCAAGCGCTGCACTACGCCCGGCTGGCCCCGGTTGGTTTGACTCGTCGCCTCGAAACAATAACGACTCATGCACGCCATAGGACTATGGTTATGATAAAGCGACGCAGACACATTTCGTCACGGCGAGCGACCTCCAGCAAGTACGTGCGACGCATCTCGGGACCTCTCCATGTCTTTTTTCTGTAGTTTAAGAGTGCCAACGACTTTGCAACGGTCTCGATCCTCCACGACCGCGAGCAGCCGTTCCACTTTATGGTACGCTATGATGCAGTCATTAAATGACAACGTCGACGCTATGCGGCGTAGGCGGCCTTGCCGTCGGCCGACCATGCCTCGCTCGTGATCCGCCCGACTGCCACGTCATTGACTGCGAAACGGTCGTTTACGATCCCAGGCTACGGCGGCGTCACGATCCTCAACCCGGTCGCGGCGCCGGTCGACGAGGTGCACCGCATGATGCAAGTGGCTGTCGCACAGCTGCGCGCTGCGCTCGGCTTGCGTTCCGTCGGCGACGGCGGCATGGGCTTGGCCAACTGGGAGCTCGACATCCTCGTCCGCGTCTGGCTCGCAAAGTAGGCACCATGGATGAAAACACGAAGAAGAATCGCTCAAGTACGTAGGCACTGGCACACGAGCTTGTCGGCGATCACGTCGACGGCCAAGCTCGTCGACGCCATGCCGCAAATGACCGTGCTACCGCGCATCCAGACCCAAGTCGATACGACACTGCGTGCGATCCACGCCACCGCCGCTGCCTTGCACAACCAAGACGGCGTCTGGAGCGCCGCCGACTGTGCGGCGCAGCTCTTGGCGCTGCGCGCGGCCGTCGAGGCCATTGAAGGCACGTACTACGACTCGACCATGGTACAGACCCACCCCACAGGAGTACTGCATCGATGATACACGGCGGTGCTAGGTCGCACAACTCTACTTTCCCGAAGAGCATTTGTACGCCGTCTACCTGCCGCTGCTGCTGCCACTCGTCCTACCCTTTGGCTTTGGCCTTGTGCGCGAAATCAAGCGCGTCCGTGTCAAGCGTGCGGCCAAGGTTGCAGAGTAGCCTGTTGCGATCCATTTGACACGACCGGTTGGTGTGCTTAATTGTCCTTATGAACGACGACGCGGTAGTTGTCGCTGGAGGCGAAGAGCGCCAGTAGCAACTCGTGCGTGAGTGCATGGCCAGGGCAAATGCCAGTGTAGTGGCCATGCAGCGGCATGCCTGCCAGCGCCAAGTCGCCAAAGCAGTCGAGCGCCTTGTGCTGGACCCACTCGATGGGGTGTCTAAAGTGTACAGATCGTCGTCGTACGCCATATCGATATTGCAAGGAGGAGGTACCGCAAGCCGTCGGGGTTGAGCGGTGTGCCCTCATCAAAGACGACGGCATTGTCCAAGCTGCCACCGCGCGCCAAGTCCATCTTCTGCAGCTGCGCAATGTCGTCGCGAAACGTAAAGGTGCGGGCGCTCGCGATCGCATCAAACTCGTCAAGTGGCACACTCAGCCAATTCCGCGGCAATCCCTTGTGTCGAAAGTCCACCTCGACCGAGACGACGAGCTCGGGCGCAGACGCGAGAGGCCGGGGCACGAGGTGCGCTGCCTTGTCCTTGTGCACCACCGAGACGGGGCGCAGCACCTCGATGAAGGGCTGCAATGCCGCCTGCTCTTCGGGCCCGACGGCGGCAATCGCCGCGAGGATCGGCTGGCTGCTACCGTCAAAGACCGGCAGCTCGGGCCCGGACGTCTCGACAATGCAGTTGTGAATGCGCGCGGCGCTCAGCGCGGCCAGCACATGCTCGACCGTAGCGATCGCGTAGCCAGACGAAGCATCGTGCAGCCGCGTGCAAAAGCCAAGCGTGTCGCGCTGGACGTGCTTGTACGTCGCGGCCACGGCCTTGGTCGGCGCGACGGCGTCTTGAAACCGGATGCCCGTGTGCGCTGGCGCCGGGTGCAATACAATCTTCGCCTACGTAGGTACAGCGAGCGTCCAGGCAGGTCGCTGTGCATCAAGTACCATCTCGCCCAAGTGCAGACCCGTGCCCGAGAGGCGAATCGCGCGACGGAGCGTGCGCTGCTGCATGCTTCAGGTCGTGCTGGACTCGCAAAATGGATTGGTCGAAATCCTTTTTATTCGACAACGTTTTGTCCAATCACAGTCGTAGACATCGGCGTACAACCCTCGTTGCGAGGTTTCACACAAGCCATGGCGCGTTCCAGTGGTAAGGGACAAGGGAGGAAATGGTTCGTAGTCTTTCTAAGCGACAAAAGGAGGCAAGAGTGTCGTCGTTTTCACAATTTATTGACATGAATTGTACCGAAACCAAGTCAATCAATCAATCCAACGGGTTCGCGTTGCAATACCAAAAATCAACTCAAAGACGTACCTGCTACGCCTGAATACATGGGAGTTGGCACCGCACTTGGTCGTCGGGAGTGAGCTGCGCACGGAGAGATCCATCCGGGACAACCTACTACGGTAGTCGACTTGCTTTGTCGCCCCCCGCGTGTTGGTAGTCTCCAGAGAAACAATATCCATGCCCTAGGTAGAAATATCAAGGAAAGAATTAGGTATTTACTTCTTCCTTACCTTGACAAAACCGAGCACCCGGTCCCTTGCGATCCAAGATCCAAGTGTATTACCACAAGGCAGACCACAAGGTGGCAGTCGACCCTTTTGCCACAATTAGAGCTCGTTAAACGTGGCGCATGCCATATCTTGCACGATCGAACACCAGACGGCAATCTCACGGTATACAAACAGCAAGACAATCGGCCAAGTCTTCGAATTTGGCACAACTGAATCTCTCGCGGCCATGGCACGGAACAGCGTCCCGGTGCTCGAGGAGGCGCGGCCGCCCGAGGACGCGGGCAACAACCGCGGCAACTTTACGCGCAACCTCGCCAAGGAGGAGGACAGCGCCATTGCGCGCAAGATGTTCTTCGGCGGCCTCGCCTTTCTGCCGTGGCTCTGGGCGGTCAACGCCTTCTTCTACCGCCGCCAGCTTCTGGACGCGACAGTCGACCCGACGACGACGCTGTGTACGCTCTCGATAGGCTGACTATGGCTCATAGCGTACTCCGTAGGGGTGCGCCGGTCGGCCGTTGGCTTTGTCGTCGTCACGTGCGTCTTTGTGGCGTGGATGGTCACGTTCCAGTTGACGTGGAAGCAAAACAATTGGCAAAGTCTCCTCCTCGTCGTGCCCGCCGAAGACTTGGACAAGGGCTGGTAGGCAGCGCTGGTCGTATAACGGAAATCCACTCTCTTTTGTATTGCACGCTCTCTCGGCATGGCACGGACATGAGCGTTGTCTTGGCCGCGCGGTGCAGTGGCATCACGTGGTCCGCGGCTGCTCCGGCGATGGCTCCGGTGAGGGCTGCAGCAAGGCGACGATACAGTAGGACGCAAGAGCTGAAAAAGGACATATGGCAACTAAATAGTCTTTGAGTGTACACCAAGCTCTCTCTAACTCAAGAACGGCTCGTCGCGGACGTTCTGGACGAGCTCGCGCACCCGGTGCACCTTGAAACTCGACGACTTCTTCTTGGGTGCGCCTGGTGAGGGCCGCGCCCCGCGCGGCGCGTCGCTCGGCGGTGGCTTGGGCTTGCATTCGTCGAGCCCGAGCCTTCGGCGCTCGATCGTTTCGTCTGCCTTGGCCATGCGGTCTTGAAGCTGCGCTTGCTCGTCCTATAGGAACCATTGTAGGTTTGAATCTCCCATGACGCCGTCATTGTTTACCTGGTCTATCCACGCCTCTTCGAGCGCTCTTCGAAAGTCATTGAGATCCTTCATGGACGGCAGCGGCGCCGGTGCCTTGCGCGTGTCTTCTTCGATCAAATCTTGCTCCATGTCCAGGCACCCCTAGTGGCCATGAGGTGGATATCTATCTATCAATCTATCCACCTGGATAAAGTCGATGTCGTCGAGGAGCTGGGATTTTTCTTCGAGAAGGGCCTCGCGTAGCTTGTCCTTGACTGCGTCGATTTGCCGAATGTCGACGCAGCCCTAAGCGTCTCTTAAAAACGCGTATTCTATCGCGCTGCGAGGACGCACCAGGTCTTCGAGGACCGCGGGGGCCGATGCGATCGACGCCGTCGAGCCGCGCGAGAGGAGGCCGCTGCGCGACGGTGGCCGCGACTGCGCGGTCGCTGGCCGCTTCCGATCGGCCGTGCCCGGGCGTATCAAGACGCCTTGGTCGCTCGGTGGGTACACGGAGACGTGGTAGTCTTTCATGCGCGGTGTGAGGAGCCCCGACGACGATGCGGACATCGATGCATCATTCTGCTGCTGGTCGTCGCCGTCTTGGGCGTGCAAGATGTAGCCAAACAGCGCCTTGTCGCGCTCCGAGCGCAGCGGCAGCGGCCTGTTTTTCTCGGTGAGGTTGCTCGCGAGAAGCTTGAGCTGGTCGAGGAGCAATGCGCGGCCTGGTGGCTCGGGCAGCGCCGGTCGACTCACGATCGCCTCCTACGATCCACGAGTTGGTCGTCTGCCAGCACATATAGAAGCGTACACGAATGCTGTCGTTCTGGCGCTGGTAGTCCCCTAAGATCTGAACAAAGGCTTGCAGTTCATTGTTGAGTCCCTAATTGGCTCTCTCAGCGGATGTGGACGGTGTCGAGAGGCGACCTCGTTCTCGTCAATGTAGCGCGTGCCAAGGACATGCCGGAGCTCGTTGATCTCAGCCGGGTTGGCCGTCCGCTTGAGCTCGTCCCACAGAAGCGGCCGGACGTAAAAGACGGCGGGCGTGTGCATTATATGCCTGCGCCCGGTCGGTTGTGGCCTCGGGGTCCTAATTATAGGACCCTACCCCGCCCGAACCCTAGTTACACTTGGTCGCCCGTTCTCACGTCCAAGGCGTCGCTGCTTGTCGTTGGATTCCTTCGTTCTAATCTCTCCAAATCGTTCATAATCATGCAAGCAATTACTCGTCGTCGTAGTGCATGGATCATGTCTCTCTCGACGATGATTCATGTACAATTCTTGCTCGTGACTGTACCAACGCCATCCATTTTGACAACATTTTGAGGATATCGTCGGCAGCTGCTTGAAACATGATCGCAGTTAACTGCATGAGCCGTCGGCGCGCGTGAGCATGGTCGTCGGCTCGGTCGCTTCAAGATGCACGTCCATCGCGGCTGCCGCGCTACGCGTCTCGTCCTGCCGACGAAGCACCGACACGCGCATCGGCGCCGGGATCGCGCTGAACACAGGCATCAGATGCGTTTGATCAAACACGTGCCAGCACTCGATCCATTGAGCAAAGCGTGCGTGGAGACGACTCTGGTCGTCTACCGACTACCGAGGCCGGACGCTCCTCGTCGGTACGCAGGCTTTCTTGGCTCACGGACCGGTGGCGCACCGGTTTCTCTGTCTCGTGGTGGCCGTCTGGCATCACTGCGAGTCGGTCACCTGGGCTAGCAAGTGGTGTCATGCGCTGGGAGAGGTCGAGCGCTCGGAGAAGCGGCCCCGTCATGCCGCCAACGAGCCACGTCGTAAACATGACCACAAAGAGCGTCGTGGTCATCATGAGCTTGCGGTGCGACGTGCCATTCGCATCCGTGTACGACCACGTTGTCACGAGTGCGAACGAGACGGCGCCGCGGAGGCCTGTAAACCAAATGACGAACAGCATCGGCGGCGTCACTTGCACTGCTGGGACGCGGTAGGCGTTCACCCAGCGCAGGAGCGGAAACGTGTTGAGCGCGCGCCCTAAGAGGAGCATGACACTGGTCCACGCCACGAAGCGCCAGTCAAAGTCCGTGTAGTGGATGCGATTCGCGTCGGCGACTTGGACAAAGCAGAGACTGGCCGAGACGCCCATAAAGACGTACACGAGGCTCTCTGCGACAAAGGCCACAGCTTCGAGCGCATGGTGAAAGAAGGTTTGCCCTGGCGGCGACATGACCGGGTACATGTAGTGGGCCGTGAGCATGCCGGCGAAGAAGAGCGCGACGATCCCGCTCAATTGGCACGCGTCGGCGGCAAAGTAGGTCAGAAAGGCCAGTAGAAAACACACCAGCACCTCGTAGACCGGGTAGTTGCGGAGATGGCGCAGGCGGGCAAAGCCGTATGCGCCACCGAGGAGCAGCGCGACCGAGATGCCAATGGACCCGAGCAAGATCGTGAACGTCTTGAGAAGCACTTCCAGAAGCACGCCGAGCGATACCGAGCGGGACGACTCGTACGCGAGCAGCGACTGGTAGAGCGAGATCGCGACCGCGTCGTTCAAGACGCTTTCGCCAAAGACAATGTTGAAGAGGAGCGATGGCACGTGCAGCTTGCTAAAGCACGCGAGCGTCGCGACGGGGTCGACCGCGGAAATGAGCGCGCCAAAGAGGCAGGCCTCGACCCACTCGATCTGAGGCCCGGCGCCGGCTTGGCCGACGAGATAGAGCCCGAGGCCCGTGACGCCAGCCGAGATGAGCGTGCCGGCGATCGCTGTCAGAAGGATCGCGCCGACGTTCTGGAAGAAGGCGAGGCGCTGCACCGAGAAGCCCGCCTCGTAAATGATGGGCGGCAGCAGCACGTCAAAGAAGATGGTGTACTGGAAGTCGAGCCGCTCGTACAAGGCCGGGTCCGTCGAGATCGCGAGGCCGCAGAGGACGCCGATGAGCAGCGCCATACCGCTCTTGGAGAGGAGCGTGCATTGGGTCGCGTCGAGCGCGAGCGAGATGAGGACGAGCAGCAGGAGCAGCGCGAGGAGCACGAGCGAGCTCTCCATCGATCGATCGGCAATGTGGCTCTGGCATCCGGACGATCCACCGGATACGAAAGCCGTTTCATGGTACACGCAAATAGTGTTTCGGAACCGGGACATTGGGACAAACGAAAGTGATGCGTCATGCGTGGCCAAGAAGTACGATGGAAATACCAGTCGGGGTCGCAGTGTGTATGCATAGGTATATATAGCGTGGAGATCCCAAGACTGGATTATGGTAGCGGTGCACGGCGAGCGTTGGCGTCTTGGCGTTGGTTTGTTGAAAGTGGATTGTTTACTATTTGCGGTAGATCCGAAAATGGTGTGAGTTCTGGTTTCACCGCCTATAAAACAAAACTCCCAATCCGTTCGTTGCCGAGTGGAGCATGGAGACGCGTACGAGGCCATGCGACGACGACGACGATGGGCTCATGGAGGCGTAGAGAGTCGGTCGATGACCAAGTCCAAGTCGCGCAAGGCGAAGCGCGGGAAGAAGGCGGTGAGCCCCAAGCACGAGGCGGCCGGCGACGACGACAGCGTCCGCCCGGCCGAAACCGCGACTTCCGACGACGCCGACGAGTTCTTTGATGCAGGTATGGATGAGCTCATGAAGGCGATGGGCCTGATGGAGCAATGGCGCTGGCGTAGACCCGAGCATCGTCGAGTCGCCAGCGGACATTGAGGTCGAGGCCGAGCCCACGATTCGCCGTACGCATGTCCACTTGCATCGTCGCGTAGCATCCGTCTTTGCATAGACTTGGGCAGCGACGATGGAACGTACTTTGACACGGTCGCTCACGAATTGGCGGCGCACGAGGCCGACGACGCGGACGAGTCGTTGATGGACGCCGTAGCCGCCGACGCCGAGGCGAGTGCAGAGAGCGAGGCGGCGGAAGGTACATGGTCGATGCGAATTCAGTCGTTGTGATACATGCTGGCTGTAGAGCCTCTCCAAGACACCGAGATGAACGAAGCGACCAAACGCGCCGAAGGTACAGGTCTCGGAAGGCCTCGAGTCCGATCGATAATGACGAGTCGCTATAGAGCGTACCGAAGACGCACTAGCTCAAGTCACCCGTCTGGACGGAGAAGATACTGGAAACGACGATGCATCGCACGACGGTGACAGCGATGCGGGCGCGCTGGAAGCCAGCGATGTGGCCAGCGCCGAGCCGAGCACTGCGGAAGAGACCGAGATCAATGCACCGCTGCAAGAAGAAGACACGACTCTCGCCACCGACGTCGCTGACGAAGCACTACCCAGTGACGGCGAGGCAGACGACACGCCGCGTCACGATGTGGTGACGGAAGATGCGTCAACCATTGAGACAGCGGACGACGCATCGTCGATTGAGACAGCTCACGCCGTTCAACCCTTCGGCGCGACAGCTGACGACGTGACCTCCGTAAGCGAAGAGGCGACAACCGATGCACCCTCGCTGCAAATGGCAACGGATGCGCCGTCACCTCTCGATGACGCCGACGATAGCGACGCTATTGAAACCCTCGACGAAGCCACCGATGCGACACCCGTGGCGGAGCTCAAGACCACCGACGAAGACGACGATGTGGGGCTTCCAACGCTCGACGACGCTGCTGCAACCGACGTCGACGAAGCGCACGACGGCGAGGGGCCGGACGACGTAGGCACGGGGAGAGGCGACGCTAGCGTCGAGTCTCTGGACGACGTGCCTGCCACCGAAATAGTGGTGCCGGATGCTGCAGACAACGACATCTCTCACGTTGAGAACAGCGAGGATGGTCACGACGGACACGAGACGTCGACGATGCCGCCTGCCGAAGAAAGCGCCGAGAACGTTGCCGAGTGTCCTGACAGTCCTGACGAAGCCGTTGATGATGTGAGAGCAGTGAGGTCGTGCCGCCATCGGTGGAAGACGTGCTTGGAGCCACCCACTCTTATGTCGAGGCTGAGGCAATCGCGGTCGGCATCGAGGACGATCCTGCGACAGACCTGCCCGTCCAAGGCAACGACGAGACTCAAAACGTCCCCAATGAACGTGGCACTGTCGACGTGGTGGAAACCATGGTGGCGCCGGTCGCGATGGACGACGATGACGACAACGATGCAGTCGTGCCACCGCCGGCGCCCGTCACTGCGCCGCGTCCCGTGACCGAGCGCCTTTTGAGCGGGCAGACACAATTCGAAGGAGTCCTCAACCCCGGCCACGACAGCGAGTCCGACTCGGAGGACGACGATGTACGCGCGAAGCTCCATTCCAATTACAGTGTAAAATGGTATGTAGGCGGAGAGTACGCCAGTGCCTGAGCCACTCAACCTTCGCGCCGCACCGGTCGACGACGACGACGAGCTCGAGGTCAACGTCGAGATCGCGCAAACCATCACCAAGGCTGCACCGACCAACCCGCTGGCCAACGCAATGGCCACGGCGGTAGCCGAGACAGCGATGGTTCCAGAGACGGCGGTGGCACCCGAGACAATGGCGTTTTCTGCGTTTGACGAGCCGGAGAAGAGTGCGTCGGCGGATGTCTTTGGCATCGCGTACGAAAAGGTCCAGCGACCGACAGCCTCGGCGACCGCCGGATACTCAATCGGTGACGGATTCGACGAGCCCGACATCCCGCTGTACTCGGCCAAGTCGACACGCGACGACAGCGGCGTCGATGACTTCGAAGTTGTTGAGCTCCAACCTTCCCAAGTACTCGACGTTGAGAAGACACGCGCCGCGTTGCAGGCCCGCGACCAAGCCTCGGAGCGAGCGCTCTTGGAGCAAATGCAAGCCGCGACCCGCGCCGAGCGCAGTGCGAACGCACGGTCTGACGCGCCCGTCGTCACTGCCAATAGCATTGGTCACGACGCGCCGCTGTCGACCGGTCCCACCGTGCTCGCCGAGGTGCTGTGGTCGTCGTTGTATCAATGTATCAAGATATGGTGTCGCGTAGATGCACGGCATGTACAAGCGGGGTTTGGGCGACCAGGAAGTAGCGCAGGGAATGGCGACGACAATGGCTCCTACGCCAAGCCACGAGCTCCTCGAGGAAGACGAAGACGCGATGGACGAAGAAGACGAGCGCGAGCGCCGAGCGATGGCGCAGCATCGCCAAGAAGAGATGGCTCAGGAAGCCGAGTGGGAGCATCTCCAGACGTTCCAGGAGGCGCCGCGAGAGACGGCGTTCCGCATCATCAAGTGGAATGAAGCCCTGGAACACTTTGGGTCGGCCTCCTACTGCTTGGGGTACCGCGAAGCGATCGTGGTCGCCGACGACTCGGGGCGCCGGGGCTGCTTTGCTTGCTTTCGCGGCCCGACGTTGGCGTTCCCGATGGCCAGCAATCAGCGCGAACTGCTTTTTTGCATCGCCATGTGCAGCTTCAACAGCGCGATCCCAGAGCACTACCGCATGCTGCAGACCGTATACCAAAAGGTGCGTCGTGGAACGCTCCTGGATACTTGGATAGATAGATACATGTAGATCACCCACTGCCGCAACGAGTGCCCGCTCACGGGGTCGCACTGGGAAGTGCTGGGGTTCCAAGGCAACGACCCGGCCACGGACCTTCGCGGCGCCGGCATGCTCGCGCTGCTCCAGGTGCTGTACCTCATCGAGAACCACCAAGAGATATCCTTTTTCATCGTCGACGATGTTTGCATCCGACCGTCGATGAACATGTATCTTCCTTGACAGACTCTGTGGATTACATCCTCGCCAAGTTCCATTATGCGTCCAAGCACGAGGAGCACCATTTTCCCATGATGTGCGTCCTCATCAACATGACGCTGCATACGATGCTCGCGCTGCGCTCAGGCGCGCTCATCCCGGCCTGCAACCGATTCAAGGACGTGGCTGCCGGCATGAACCAGGTATGGCGTTCCGAGGCCGCGATCGCTCATCGCATGCGCTAGCTGTACGTCTCCATGGTGGTCAAGCTCCTCTCCGAGTGGCAGACCAAGGCTTGTGCGGACGCTGCCTTTCCAATGGTCATGAAGGACGTGCTCGACCTCGGGAAGGACAACCCACTCCGGCTCATCGCCGAGATGGAGCACGTGATCCATACCTTCCAGCATCAACCGACGACGATGGAGCTGGATGGCGAGGTCGTCGACTTCACCGACATCGAATGACGATCTAGTGTATTCTTCTTGTGTCTAATATTGTCCTCGAACGGCTTGCGCTTAGTAGCTCTGCGTCTCGTTGAGCCACTTTTCGAGGCCCTTGATGGGCTTGGCCTTGAGGAGCGCGGCTCTGTGTTCTTCAATCTTCTTGTCCATGCCGGCCATCGCCGTCTGGATCTTCTTGACGCGGTCGACCTCGCGGCGCTCGTTGGCATGGCCCTTGGGCGTGCGCATGACGTTGTGCTGCTTGGGCAGGTCCCACGCCGCGAGCCAGCCGCCCTCGCCGGCCGTCCACGTGCCCATCGTGCCCTTCTGGACCGCGACCTTCTTCACGTTGGCCTGCTGGCGGAGCGACAGCATGGGCTTGACCCAGCGGCCCTTGACGAGCGTCGGGCGCAGCGCCTTGGTGGCTTCGTCGGCGCTAAGCTGCAGGAACCGTTGCATCCTTCAAGGCCAATTGATTATGCTCCATTCGCTTGCACCCGCCAGGCGGTCGCACTTGAACGGACCTCTTTTGAATTACGAACCATGTATATAAACATCAAGGTGTTTTTACTATATTTCATCCATTCGCCGTACCTAATTTAAATATTCAGGTTTTTATATATATGAGTGTTTGTATTAATAAACAAGAGCTTTCTATAAAACAACACGCACTTCATAGAGTGCGATCTTGACCGGGCGCTTCTAAATTCGGCATTGCCATGCCGCATCCTAGCCGATGCGTGTCAAGAAGCGTCGTACGAAATGGAGGAGCGAGCGAGGGTCGACTGCCTACTCGAGAGACGTCGCGACACGTTACCTTGATGCTCTAGACGTAGTGGTACCATGGAAGTTTGAGATAGTAATGATTCGAGTCCATGAGCTGTGATACAGGTCCCAGTCTCTGATTGCTGGACCCAGTCTACAAGTTGTACTCCGACGGCGCCCATACCAATTACGGCAGTGCATATCTACTACAGTTCGTAGAATCGACTACGCAGCCATGCTTGAACACGGACCGTCGTCCGTGCAATCGAAGCCCCTCGCAGAGGGTGGGATGCTTCCAAGTTGCCAGCACCTTGCACGTTGCCACACGCGGAAGGATCGGTGGTCGTTTACTTTCACGTCTGCGCTCCAGCAGGTAGTTAGTTGGTTGCAGACTTCTTGTAGCAGGGGTGTGTCTATCGATGCGTCTGTTGGTGTTGTCGATCGATGGATTTATTTGTGGCACATGCCGAACCCAACGTTTTCTGGAATGTCGAACTTAGCCCGTCAACGCAAATCTTTCGCATTTTCCATCTTGCGGCGAGACTGCGACCATGGCCGACGAACGCTTCGACGGGCTCCTTCTGCAGATGGCGCAGCAGCAGCAGGGCATCGAGCCGATGCTCACGAGCGTCTTCTCGTTCCTGCGCCGGAAGACAGACTTCTACGCTGGCGCGTCCCAAGACAAGGTCGAGCAAATGGTGCTGAACGTCCTGCGGCGCGAAGCCGCGCTGGCCGAGCGCGAGCGCTATGACCGCAAGCAGCAAGAAGAAAAGGAAAAGAAGAAGCGCCTCGACGCCAAGAAGAAGAAGGACGCAGAGGACGCGGCGCGCAAGGCGGCCGAGATGGAGTCGCGCTTCGAAGAGATCGTGGACGAGCCGCCGGCGCCCGTGCTGGAAGCCAAGCCGATGGCCACGCCTGCGCCTACGAACAACCCTGCCAGCAACGGCAACGACGACGATGACGATGACGCGTCTCCGCCGCTGGAAGGCAACGGCGGCAAGACGGAGCACTACGTCTGGACGCAGACGTTGCAGGAAGCGCACGTGTCGATCGCGGTGCCCAACGGCACGACGTCGCGCCAGGTGTTTGCCGACATCCGCGCCAAGACGCTCAAGGTCGGCCTCAAAGGCCAGCCGCTCCTCGTCGACGGCGAGCTCCACAAGCGCATCAAGGTCGAAGACTCGTTCTGGACGCTCGAGGACGGGAACCGCATCTGCATCTACCTCCAAAAGGAAAACCAGATGGAGTGGTGGAAGAACGTGATCCAAGGCGACCCGGAGATCAACACGAAGAAGGTGCAGCCAGAGAACTCGAAGCTGAGCGACTTGGACGGCGATACGCGCCAGACCGTCGAGAAGATGATGGTACGCTTCCTCCACCTCGATCGTCCCAGGCTCATGCTCGTTGCGTAGTTTGACCAGCGCCAAAAGCAAATGGGGCTGCCGACCAGCGACGAGCTGAGCAAGCAAGAGATTTTGAAAAAATTCATGGCCGCCCACCCCGAAATGGACTTTAGCAAGGCCAAGCTCAACTAACTTCACATGTCCTCCACTCAACCCTTGTACCTTCCATCGTCTTGGTCGTTGCTCTCATCTCGGCGACAAGTTGCTGCCACCCGACACCATCGAGACAACAAACTGCGATGCAATAAGAGCTTAGCACCACGTTGCCGTAGCGGACTAGACGCGGAGGTACCCCTGGCCCTCGACGTAGCTCAAGAGCTTGGCTTGCTTGGGCAACGGGGTCTCAGCATCCGCGTTGATGGCGACACCCATGGGCGTCGACGGCGGGCAGATGGCAATGTAGCGGGCGTAGCCACCGAGGCCACCGCGAAGCTTGGGGAAGCCCATTTGAACGAGGCAGCCAATTTCGGGCACTCCGTCAAGGTCCGCGACGCCTTCGGCTTGGGTGTAGCCGTTCTGGAGAAGCCACGCCTCCGACTCGAGCGTCGGGCTCGTGTCCGTGTCGAGCGGCTCGTGTCCGTGGAAGAGAATCGACCGGTTCAGATGGAGGAACTGCACCGACGCCAACGACTGCCCGGGAAACGGAAACTGCGCCGCGAGCTCGGTCGGCGGGACAGTATCCCACTGCTTGGACCAGTCGGAGCGGATAAAGACGACCGCGCCTTTCGGAATCTTGGTCTTGAACTGCTTTTCCCAGCTCAAAATGTCGTCGACTTGGAGCTGATAGCCCGCATCGGCCTTGACCTTGTCGACGATGTCGAGCACGACGAGCGGGCGCACGGCGAACGTCGGCGGGAGCTCGTCGATCGCCGCGTAGTCGGGGTGCCAGTGCGCAGGCGGGTCCAATTGCGTGCCAAACTGGTCGGTCTCGAAGCGGTAGTCCATGCCGGCGAACCCGTCGGTTGCCCACGTGTAGGGCGCGCCGGACGTTGTGTTTTTGGCGCGCCGAAACTGCGCCGGCGGCGTCCGAAACCCCGACCACACGGGCGTCTCTGGCGACATGGTGTGCGTCAAGTCAATGTGCTTGGCACGGGCAAACGCTTTTGTAAACGTCTTCCAGAGGCGGAGGTCGTGGCACGACGCAGCTTTGTCCGTCGTCGTCGTCGTCGTCGTCGTCGTGGCGTTGCCGGTCGACGACGAGGGCGGCGCCCGGAGGTAGCCGTGGCCAGGATAGTAGACGAGCGGCGCCGTTTCTTTGAGCATGGGTGCTTCGGGTGTCGATGCAATGCGACGCCCGTGCGGCCACGACGCCGGGCAGATGGCGATGAACCGAGCAAACCCACCGAGGCCGCCGCGGAGCTTCGGGTACGAGATGCTCACGAGGCAGCCGGCCGGCGCGACGAGGTGCAGATTGGTGAGCCCCTCGGCCTGCGTGTAGCCGTTTGTGAGCAGCCAGCCCTCGGTCTCGAGCGTCGGGGTCGTGTCGGCGTCCAGTGGCTCATGCCCATGAAAGAGAATCGACCGGTTGAGATGGAGGAACTGCACCGACGCCAACGACTGCCCGGGAAACGGAAACTGCGCCGCGAGCTCGGTCGGCGGGACAGTATCCCACTGCTTGGACCAGTCGGAGCGGATAAAGACGACCGCGCCTTTCGGAATCTTGGTCTTGAACTGCTTTTCCCAGCTCAAAATGTCGTCGACTTGGAGCTGGTAGCCAGCATCGGCCTTGACCTTGTCAACGATGTCGAGCACGACGAGCGGGCGCACGGCGAACGTCGGCGGGAGCTCGTCGATCGCCGGGTACGCTGGGTCCCAGTGCGCGGGCGGGTCCAATTGCGTGCCAATGTTGTCGGTATGGAGCTCGTACGCGTTGGCAGCGAACCCGTCGGTCGCCCACGCGAACGGAGCGCCCGACGACTTGTTCGTCGCCTGCAAAACGCTTGCGGGTAGACGTCGCCGCTCCAAACCGGCGTCGTCGGCGTCAGCGTGTGCGTCAAATCAATGTACGTGGCGTCCGCGAGGCCGTCGGCAAAGGCCGACCAGAGGCCTCGTGCACTCGGCCGGCGCGCATGGCCTCCCAAGGCCGAGACGATTAGCGAGCTCAGCGCCAACACCCGCATCGGCGCTCAAGCTCAAGAAAAGCAAACTGCAACAAAATCCAACACCGAAATTCGAAGCAATTCGAGTGATCGGTACGTTGAACCTGTACGCTGACGGGGCACGGACATGATCAGTGGAGCAGTGTCCTGTCCTTGGATGATAAGTACTTAAGAACGCCTTGTGACGCTGTCGTCCTTGTTTAATAGGAGCTGCTCAGCGGGGACGGCAGATGCCATACAAGACAACGAAGAGACGCTTCTTGGCATGCGGAAATCTGGTTCGTGGCTATCAGCTTACTATCAGTTCGCCCGATCATCTCCCAACACAGTGAAAGCCTACGGTATGCACGAACCAACCAAGCGAATGATTGGTGTTAGCGGGTGGACCACCACGCTTGGTGCCATGAAGCGAAGGCATAAGTGGTAGAGAGTGCATGGAGGCTGCGCCTCGACAAGCTTTACTGCTGTCGGGTCGTCCAAGTTGGTGAAACTTGAAGTTAAGCGGATCATCCGGATAACCGCGCGAGGATTTCAATCTTGTGATCGTCATGTGGCGCCGGCGAGTGGCGAGCGTGGTCCAGCGGCGGTGGTCGTCGACGTGCGCCGTCACGCGTGCCGACGGCCTCATCGCGCTCATCAAGCAAGCGCCAGGCCGCAACGACGACGACGATGCACGGGACTATCTCCGCGCCACCTCGGCCATCGACCTGCGTGTCACGGACGCGTACGGCTCAACGGCGCTGACGCTGGCCGCCCGTGGAGGCCACCTCGAGCTCTGCCGCGACCTTCTCAACGTACTTGATACGCCACGCAGCACTGCACCGCGCGCGACGGTGCTGAACCAAGCCAATATGTTTGGATCGACGCCGCTCATGTGCGCGAGTGCGTCGGGCCACGTGGACGTCTGCCACCTCCTGCTTGGTGCTGGCGTCGACGTCGACGTCCGAACGCGGTACGGCTCGACGGCGCTGAGCAAGGCAGCAGAAGCAGGCCACGCTGCGATCGTCGACGCGCTGCTCGCTGCCGGTGCCACGTCATCGCCCAACGCGCTCGGGAAAACACCGTTCGAGCTCGCGCAGGCCAAAGGCCATAAGCTGCCCCAGCTCGAGGAGGCGCCCATGCATGACGAACGAAGCAGCGCGCGCGTCACGAGCTGGCGAAGCGCGACCTTGATCGAGTGCCAACTGGCGTCGACGGGCGAGTTTGTCCTCGTTGAGAAGACGGACGCACGCCAGCGCACGCCCATCAACGCAGCGCTCGAGCTCATGTTTTCCGATGGTCGCTGGTGCATTGCGCACGTGCCTGCGTCGAATCGCCCGTGAAGCAGCGCTGCTTGCACCCGCGACGACCGTTTGCAAACAAGTGCGTCGACTGCCCCGACAAGCGGTAAATGCGTCTCGGAGTGATACCTTTTAGCGTGAATCAAAGTGGAATCGTTGCTACCAAGTCGCCGCGTCAATGGATAAATCGTTGGCGATGGCCATGCGCGTGTATAGTTCTTTCCGAAAATCCATCTCCAACCAACCATTCGACCGACAACATCGTACTAAATTCATTCCGTTCATTCGCACAAAAGTGCACCGTCGCGTCATTCAAGAAGCGCCTCACCACCCGCGCCGACCTCACGGACCTCACCGCTCTGGCGCAGAACAAGGAGCTCTGGACCGTGCTGACCGAGGTACTCGTTGGTGCTTGTCCCGGCGTCCCCACGCACAACGCAGACTAATGTGCTGCGCGCTGAGAGCCCCGATCACGGGCAGATATGGGCAGTTCTGCCCTCGCAGTAGCAACACTATTCCAAGAAGCCATATCGCAGCAAGACGCCATGCGCCCGCTTACAATTTTTGATTTGTGATTTTTGATCGCTCTCTCACGCCGTGGCCGCGCGCGCTCTGCAAGCGGCCACCCCGACTCTACTACCACAAGCACGACCGCAAAGCAAAACGTTGTGTTCAAACGCAGCTTCGACACACGTTATACAACCGTAGGACTCTTCTCTACACCGTCGCTAAAGCACGACGGCGGTATACCGTCGCGGCACCGATCCCAGTTAGCGACAGCGCGGCGGGCAAGAGAATGCCGACGAGATACCATAACGGCGCCGGTTCGTCGCAGCCTTGGCCGCCGGCGAGAATCGTGCAACTCGTCGCATCGTACATGGACATGAGCGTGCCCGTGATCGAGACGGACAAAATCGTCACAAACGCAACGAAGAGGAAGGCGGCGACGCGCGGGTAGCGCCCCCCGGTTTTCTTGAGCTCGGCGACCGCGGCTTTTTGGTTTGGCAGCAAGTAGACAAAGAAGCAGCCCAGAAACGTCAAGCTGTACCCAATCACGTATGTCCATGCAACGTCCGCGCGGATGTCGGGCGTGTCCGCCTTGATGCGCGTGGTCGAGATGTGGAATGGGACGTTAATGACGTTGGTGATGATGCTGGTGAAGAGACCCGGGAGGTTCATGATCGTGGTGACAAGGCCGAACATGACGCCTTCGTTGCCCGAGCCCGCGAGCTCGGCGATGACAAACATACTCACCATCGAGTTCATTGCGTTCGGGATCATCTCCGCGATCGGGACGCCGAGGAAAAACCACTGGTTCCGGACCACGTCAAAGATGGTGAAGAACATAACGACCGCGTCGATCGCATTGGTGACAAGTGTCGTCCAGACAATGACCGCGCGCCAGTTCCAGTGCGTCCCGATCTTGCCGACGGTAACAAGCATGCCAATGTACAAGAGCTTCCCGACCGTATACATGATGGTGCTGTTGAGGTTCTCAACTTTGGCCCAGTAGAGCTTGACGTAGCCACTGGCCGTCGACCCAATGCCCGTGAACGTGTTGAAGAGGAAGTTGAAGAGGAGCACTTGCCACACGACGCGCAGTTGGAGGAGGTCCCAGAGCTCCTTGATGTAGATGCGAAAGTCGACGCGCAATGACTTGTCGTCGTGAAGGAAAAAGTACACGATCGGAAGGTTGAGGACAACGGGGGCAGCCAAAATCCAAAAAAACACGTTGAGACCAATGTCCCAGTCGTAGTGGCCGCCGAACCGCGTCGAATTGAGGCAAAACCAGACACGTTAGTGACGAGCGCGGCCGCAAACCCGCGGACGGCGTAGACCAGCGACACGAGACGACCACGGACGGCCTCGGGCTCGCGCTGCGAGTACGAAACGGTGAGCGCATCCTGCGCGACGTCGGCGATGATCATGGCGAAGCACACCACCGTGCAGATGAGCGCGAGCGACGACCCGTTGTGCGTTGCCGCTGGGTCGGGGGCGCCGGCACCTGCTGGACGCAGCGCCACGTAGACCAGCATAATGGCCGTGACGGTCCAGCCACCGAGGATATATGGCTTGCGGCGGTAGCCAACGATCGGGACGCAGTCCGTGAGCATGCCGAAAAAGACCTTGAACGACCACCCGAGCGCCATAAGGGTTCCCGCCGAGTTGAGCACGTTGGGCGGGAGCTGGTAGTAGGCCGTTAAAAACGGATACGCGATCGAGTTGGTGCCACCAATGACGACACCGAGGATCGCGTACTGGAAGAGGAAGGCGACGATCTCGGGCGATGTGTAGACGAGCGCACCGCCTTCGCGCAGCGCGCCGTCCGTGTCGGCTTCAAGAACTTCTGGTGTCTTGGCGGCGAGGTAGTCGGGCGAGAGCTGCTCGATCGGATCAACGGATTTGATGTACGAGATGCGCTCCGAGAGCTCAAGATCGTCCCCGCGTAGCGTCGACGGCACCATGGTGGTGTTGATCAGCGTGGGAAATTGAAAATGAGCGATGGGGGCGGCGTTGGCGTACAAGGCGGCACGACCCAAGGGCAAGCAAAGAGGACCGGCAAACAGCGTGGAACGGGGTGACGTGAGGGGTATAGTGGGATAAGGATGACAGTTCGATGGGTACCTGGAATCCTTTTACGAGGGTCGACGGTACTAACAGTCCCGTAGGACACATTGAGAGCTCTATCCTGCGGAGACGTCGATATTTGCATCGAGTCCAGCTCGATGGTGCGCACAGTGAGCAAGCGCCGAGTCGGACCTCCAATGCGGTCGTGGAAGACCGCTCCCTTGAAAACATGTGTTCTAGCGTCGTGCCGTTGGACGGTCCACGAGGCGGCGTATCTGAGAACTTCTGTCCCACATCAGTTTCGTTTTCTATGCTGACCGTGCTTTCGTTGGGCTATGCACAGTTAGTGGTCCATGGAGTTATCGACTGCATCCCGATCACGTTGGTGTCACGACCGCTCACCAATTCGCGTCCATTCCACGTCGTTGAGCAACACAAGTCGATGAGACGCCGCTGCGGGCGTTGTTCGATTCACACAAACGCGCGCAAAAGAACAAGTGCTGCGGCGCCGTGCCATCGAGGGAATCTGTCCGCGTGCGCCGATACCACCCAGGTGCACCTGGTACGAGGATAGAAGTGGGGATAGGAGGAGCAAGGCGGTGTTGCGACGGATGCCGACGGTAGCGTAGCAGTGCAGTGGGCGCCTCTGTCCACTCGATTTTTTAAATCCAGAACACGTTGACGTAGCGGTCGTCACTGCAGGCGGCGACGTCGTCCCGTACCCCAAACACGGATCCATGGAAAAGTAGACGACCGGCCTCAGTGTAAAAGACGCGTTCAAAACAACAGTATCCAAGAAAAAACGTATGTTTCCTGAATTTAACAATGGCTCCTTCGTAAGCGCAAGCCTTGGAACTTGGCAGCAAAGATCCCAACGATTGATAGCTGCGACGGCACAATGCACCCGAGCAAGTAGAGCTACGACGCGTTTTCGTCGCAGCCTTCGCCGCCGGCGAGGAGCGTGCAGTTGGTCTCGTCGTTCAGAGATGCCGTCAATGAGACGGATAAAATCGTAATAAACGCACAAAAATTTAGGCGCGGGGGTAGCGACCCCCGTCTCTTTGAGCTTGGCAACCGCGGCTTTCGGGTGGGTAGCAAAAAGAGAAACATGCAGCTCGCACAAGCAGTTTCTGGCGCTGGAATCGTAGACATGGACGAGGAGCTCAGAACCAAGGGTCGGCTCGCAGGATCTGTAGCGGGACAACCAAGGAGCGGCGGGAGAGGTAGTAAAGAAACCACTTGAGCTTATCCTTACGCCGTAAATGCAATCAATTACCAGATCGCCGCGCGCTCGGCTTCAGGCAAGTACATGCCGTCGCCTTCTTGGATGTTGAACGCGGCGTAAAATTCCGGAAGGTTCTTGAGCGGCGCAAAGCTGCGGAGGAAGCCCGGGCTGTGCACGTCGACGGACAAGAGCTTGAGCGCCTGTTCGTCGCGGTCGGTTGACGCCCAGAACTGGCCCCACGCGAGGAAGAAGCGCTGCTCGGGTGTGTACCCGTCGACGAGTTCGTCCGGGCGGCCGTGCTTGGCCAAGTAGAGCTGCAGCGCGCGGTACGCGATCTTGACGCCGCCAATGTCGGCGATGTTCTCGCCCAGCGTCAATTGGCCGTTCACGGGCCGGCCGAGCACTTGGTACTTGCTAAACTGGTCGACAACGACTTGCGTGCGCGCGTTGAACGCGGCAGCGTCCTCCTACCTCCCAATATATATATATATATATCAATCTATCAAGATGGTAGCAATCCTACCGGCGTCCACCATTCCGAGAGGTTGCCCGCGGCGTCAAAGAGGCGGCCTTGGTCGTCGAAGCCGTGCGTCATCTCGTGGCCAATCACCGCACCGATCGCGCCAAAGTTCATGGCCATGTCGCGGTCCAGCTACACAGGGCATCGAAATCTATCAAGGTTTCAAGCATTGCCATCAACCTACCGAAAACGACGGCGACTGGAGGATCGCGGCGGGGAAGACGATCTCGTTCGCCATCGGGTTGTAGTACGCGTTGACCATCTGCGGCGGCATCTCCCACTTGTGCTTTTGCACGGGCTGGTCCACGCGGCGCACAATGTTTTCCGCAAACATGAAGCGCTGCATCGAGAGCACGACCTCGACGTAGCTGCCGTCGACACGCAGCGCCGAAAAGTCGGTCCAGAGATCGGGATACCCGATCTTGGTGACGATCGCATCGAGCTTCTCCAGCGACTTGGCCTTGGTCGCCGGCGTCATCCACGCCAAGTCCTGGAGTGACAGCGCCAACGCCTCCTGGAGGCAGCCGACAAGCTCGAGCATCGCCGTTTTGGCCGTCGGTGGAAAGTACGCGGCGCAGTACACAGCGCCCATGAGCTCACCGCACGTGTCATTGAGCGTGTTGACGACGCGTTTCCAGCGCGCCGAGAGCTCCTTGGCGCCCGACAGCGCCTTGGACAAAGCAAACGCTTCGTTCACATATACCTAGAACATATCAAGATTATGGGTGTCGACCTTTCAATAAATCAAACAATCAAAAAATGACGTACCGACGGCAGGTACGATGCGAGCGCCTTGAGCACATGCCACGACGCATACTGCTTGTAGGCATCCAAGTGGGCCTCAATGTCGTCGGCGAGGAAGGTAAACATCTCGGGCGTCGCGACGATCGCAAATGCCGGCACGTCGATGCCGTAACCGCGGAAGACGGCCGCCCACGGAAACACCGCCGCCTCCAACTCGTCGGGCGTCTGCTTGTTGTAGAGCGACGCAATGTCGCGCATCGCAGTTCGGGTGCGCGACGTCGCCGCAAGCCGGCGCTCGACGTCGACGACCGACGTTGCGACGGCCGATGCATTTTCGTCCGGGCGGAAGAGCGCCCACATGGCCGCGACGTGCGCCTCGTACGCAGCGAGTTTCTCGGCCTTGTCGGCGTCCGTGTAGTAGTCGCGGTCCGGGAGCCCGAGGCCGCCCTGGGCAAAGAAGAGTCGCTCGGTCGTCGAGTCCTTCATGTCCGGCAGCACGGCCGCGTCAAAGAGCACACTGAGGCCCTGCGTGTGGAGGTACCCAATGGTCTCGATGAACGAGTCGCGGTCGGTGGCGTCCGCAATGCGGGCCAAGAGCGGGTCCAGAGCAGCCGTGCCCGCAGCCTCGACACCGGCCTCGTCCATGGCCGCCTTCCAGAAGCGGGCGATCTGGCCTTCGCACGTGCTAGCGTCGAGCATATCGATCTCCGCGGCCTTGGCTTCGCAGAGGCCTTTCACGTCGCCGAGCACTTGGTCGCGCAGCTTGTAGAAGACGCCCCACGCGCTGTACTCGTCCGGAATCGGGTTGCGCTGGGCCCACTTGCCCCACGAGTAGGTCATAAAGTCATCGCGCGGGTTCGCGTCGAGGTCCATGTCGTCGACCTGGAGGCCCGAGTGGGCGGCGGCGCAGCAGCAGAAGCGAGGAGGCGACATGGCAAAAGTCGAAGTGACGTCCGAGGGTCGAGTGCGCGGGGGCTGTGGAACGCTTCGGCCTTGATTGGCCTTTTTATTCGCTTGTATCGTATAGTTTGATAGTCATTAGGCCAATCAAAATGCGTCAATCTTGGTCCATACTACTTGAAAGAGTGAATTCGGCCCACCCACGATCGCGAAGTCCGACCATGGCGACAATGGACGCGGGCTCTCATGACAGAACCGAGTGCAGAAATGGATAAAAGACAATAATGAATAGACGATTCGGATGGCATCGTTGTCTTCTCGACGCTTGCGCTCGACAAAATCGTCAGTGGGACCTTGGACTGACGATGAGACGACATGCAGAGTGACGGTGGCGATAGACACTGCCAAGGCGCTTCCAAGGTGAGTCTGTCGCTGCACCTCGATCAGTGCAAGTCGGATACCAAGCCTCGACTAATAGTCTAAGCAATTCAACAGGTCCCATGCATGTACGTACGGTTATTAGCTACCTTGCAACAGCTTTAAATCGGTTTTCCTCGAGATCCTCGGACCTCCACACGCGATAAGAAGCGGAGAGTGCACCTACTATACCTTCTTGAGCGTCGATCGACAGCACTGTCGTTGGAAAGACGAGCTGCGAGCGAGCTACATAGCACGTAGACTTGGATTCTTTCAGGCAACAAGGAAAACTGGGTAGTATATTGTCTTAGAATACCGACAAAGACCACGACTGAGCACGAGAAGCCACCACAGCAACCGCCCGGCCGCATTCGATGCAGTGCTACTGCATAGCGTAGCTGCCATCCACAAAAACCGCGTTTAGTAGTCCGCACAACACACATGATAAAGACCGGTATCTCGAGGTGACAACCACCGGCCTCACACTTCAAGCATCCATTCGAGCAGTTAGGCATGCAGGAGGCGACTTGTCGGCAAGGCATATGCCGTGGGCGCCTCTCACGCAACGCTGGTGTGTGGTGGTGTCGACTCGTTCTCGACATCTGTGGGCTGTACAACCTAATCGTACTCTGATCTCGACAGTCATTGCCACTACCGGTAAGATACGCTGCCACGTGGTAGGTTATTAACACGTCACAATCTATTCTCGTATGAAAATACTTTCTATGCGGGTAATTAATGCCTTCCGGACATTTTCAGACGCATTGGCTTTTTGGAGCCGGCAAGGCGACGAGCGGCAGCCAGCACGACCTGAGCGACGCAGCCGCGGAGTACAAAAACCTCGTACGCCTTTGTCAGGACGCAGCGTCGCAGGTCACGCTTCTCTAGCCTGCGATACAAACACCAAGTACACGCAGCGCTGCGATGGCTTGAACGCCTTGACAGCCCTCGGTGGCGCGAGTGATCTCATTGCCTCCGAAAACGAAGTCGCATGTCCCTCTACGACCCGCTTTACCGCCAGAAGCGCGCTGAAAAGCTCGCCGATGCCAAGTTGGAGGCCAGGATGCCCTCATGCGTACGCCGAGCCCGACGGTGGCCGCGAACCAAGGTTTGCGTGCCACCGCGGTCCGGCGCAGCACGACCCCGACGATTGTCCGCCAGCGTGCGACGACAACTGTCCCGGTAGCTGCTCGATCGATCACCCAGTCAAGCGTGCGACCGACGATTCGGTTGACGCCAACGCCCGCTACGACGACATAGCGACCACTGACGGCAAGCAGCCGCAGCTCCACCACCGCCGCGCAGCGTCGCACACCAGTGACGAGCGTTGCGCCTGCACCGCCAAGTGCCACCACGGATGTCACGCCCACCAGCGCGACATCGACGACCATCTCCGAGGCGATCCTCACTCAGCTGCGTTCGGAAATAGCCGTCGATGTCGCGCCGGTTGGCGTGACATCCGTGGTGGCACTTGGCGGTGCAGGCGCAACGCTCGTCACCCGCTGCGCGGCGGTGATGGAGCTGCGGCTGCTTGCCGTCAGTGGTCGCTATGCCGTTGTGGCGGGCGTTGGAGTCAACCGAATCGTCGGTCGCACGCTTGACTGAGCGATCGATCGCGCAGTCGCCACATCAGCGACAAGGTGCATCGACGCCGGCTCGCCGAAGGCCACACGTCTGCGTACCCGCAGCTCAACGCGCTCGCAAATAGTGCAACGTGCCTACGTTGGGGTGGCAGATGTACGCGCTCCTTAGTTGACGTCAACGCAATGTCTGCGCAGGGCGTCTCCGAGACACCACACGTGGAAGAGTACGGGAGCGGACTTCAAATGTCTCCGAGGCCGACGTGGACGGCTCAGAGAAGCTTACATTGACCAAAAGACACGTTGAGAAGGACGTCCCAAAGAACGCGATGCACCGCGGGTTCGCAGACGCGCGGCCTTCAGCGAGCTGCCGGGCGTCGTCGTCTCCGTACCAGAGATCCCGTCGTGGCGCTGCGTAACACCGACGCGCGCCGTCACATGTATGAGCTACCTCGATGAGTGAGAGACGCTATGGCAATGATACGACGTGTCTACCCTAGACGACGTCGTCGAGTGCACTTGAAGCTGGCGCCTGCTCTGGAGGATGCCGTTGGCGACGCGAGCATGGCGCTTGGGGCCACCCGTAACGTAGCCCGTCCTGCGTCTCTCAACTCCGAGATGTGGCAAACAGAAGACAAGTGGCACCGCTCGATAGGAGGCCAAATCCAAACTAAAGAACTTGGGACTGGGATTACTGCCGTAGTCTCTGCATCGCAGTAGCATCCACAAGCTCGGTCCGAGCGTCTATGGCTCGCTTTAGCTCGTCGACCAGCGGTCGTCTGGGGCCGGTTACGTGGTGATGTGGATTTTGGTGCAACTTGAAGTTGCCGCAGCCTTTTCGAGAGAACTGTCGGGTAGGAAAACGAGCGTTATCCGTAAGAAGCCTGTCGTATCCGGACAATTTACCTTTCCGTCATTTTCTGCCAGCGCTTCCGACGCAGCATGTTGCCACCAAGCTTCAACGCCCATGACGGCTTCCTCGTGCCCGGGAGCTACGACATTGCCAACCTGCTCTCTGGGAGGTCGCTCAAGGCGCGGCCGAACGACGTCTTTGTCTGCTCGTACCCGGACTGCGGCAACGACTACGTCCTCCGGATCGTCTACGGCATCTTGCACAACGACGTGGCGCCGATACCGCCGCCCGAGACCGTCGTGCCGCACCTCGAGCGCGTGGGCAAGGAGGCCGCCGAGCGCATGACGGCCAAGGACCACGCGCGCCTCTTCAAGACGCACCTTCCGAGCAAGTGGACGCCGGCGCACGATGCGGCCAAGTACATTTGCGTGGGGCGAAATCCCAAAGACACGTCAGTGGCCCACTATTACCGCACGCGCGAGTACGTCGAGGGCTACCACTACGAGAACGGGCAGTGGGACGACTACTTTGAGCTCTTCCTCGCGGGCCAGGTGCCATGACGACTCTTGGTCTTCAAGGCGATCATGCGTCTGCTATTCTCGTAGGTGGACTTTGGCGACTACTTTGACTTTTTCGTGCCCTGGTTCCAGCGCAAGGACGAAGACAACGTGCTCTTCCTGACGTACGAGTACCTCGCGGACGAGACGCGCGACGCGATCCTGCGCATTGCGCGCTTCCTCGGCGACGACTACGAAGACCGGCTCTTGGAGCACCGCGAGGAGCGTCTCCACGTCATTGTCGACGCGCTCGAGAACGTCAAGGCGCCGCTGATCCAGCTCGGCGACTGGAAAACGCTCTACTCGGCCGACCAGAGCGAGCGCATGCTGCACAAGTTCCATGAGAAGACCAGAGGCACGGGCGCCCAGCACATGTGGGCCGACCTCATGTAAGCGGCCGTCTCCCTCTCCTCGTCTTCGTCCTTGTCTTCTTGTACGCATCGATGATTGATGGTGCGTGGTAGGAATACTACACAGGAGTGAGCATCGCGAGACGAGTAGTTAGTCGTTGTGCTAACCAATGCTAGTCGATTCTTGATCGTACGTCTACTAACTAAGCTCACTGCTGGTATCCGATGCGAGAGGCTCTGGTGGAGCTTCAACGTCGCTCGCTTCTGCAACAGCGCGGACCATCGGCAGCGTGGGCGGCCACCTGTCGGTGGGAATTCTGTGTGAATTCGTCGCGTGAATCCATTTTCACCGTGGTAAATGACACTGGTAACGGCTTGGGCATGGCGGCAGGCCTCGTCCGGTGACCATCATGGACGACGCAGAAGACCTCGAAGCCGAGTTGCAGCGGCAGCTGCTGGCGATGATCATTGACGACGACGACGACGACGAGGATGATGATGATGCCAATCGACCAGCGTACGAGCGCAAGTCGATCGACGAGCTCCTTGCGAGGTACTGCATTGCCAACGACGACCTGCAACCCATGCCCATGAGGCTATAGCGTGCAAGACGAGACGCATCGAGCCAGTACGACCACGGTATCGTGGACGGCGTTTGCAGAGGCGACAAGGGCCGCCGACGTGGCACTGCTCTCGGCCGTCGAGACAGACCTCGCCGACTTGGACTTGTACGACGTCCATACCGCCATGCAAGTCGACCAGCGGCAGGTAGCAACCACGCCTCTCCTCCCACCAACGCCACGGTCTGACGTGAGAGCGCTGGCCCCCGACGCGATAGCCTTGACATCGACGACCGACGCCGACGTCGTGAGCTACTGCCACGCGCATTGCGAGCCATCATGCGCAGCCGTGTGTACAACCCACTGCGCGCCCGTCACGTGTCCCTATTACTCGAGTAGCGTCGCCGCCGCCGAGGCCCGGCACGCAGCCTCGGCGGCGGAAGACGAGGTCTTCCTGGCGCTCTCCCAGCAGTCGGTCCAGGCCATCGCGATTGCGGCACGGGTGCCCACGGATGCCCGTCTCCCTACAACCACCGTCGACACAGATTCCGTCGTTGGCAGTCCGACGATGGCTCTCAACTACGAGGCTCGCTGCGACGCCATCGAGCGCAAGCACCGCGAGCGCGTCGCGGCCATGGAAGCCGAGCGAGCCGCGGCCGACGCCGCGTACGAAGCCCAGCAGCGCGAGCTCCAACGCGAGATATCCTTTTCTTCCATGTCCTGCCTACTGCTAGACCGATGCTGGTCGTAGTTTCCAGCGACATGCTGTCGCACGCCATCGCCGCGGAGAGCCGACGCCTCGCCAAGCAGCGTCGCCTCGAGCGCGGCAGCGCGCCGAAGACGCTCTCCGCGCCGAGCAAGCGGCGCACGACCGTCGTCTCGCCGACGAGGCGCGCCGTCTCGACGAAGAGCACCGAGCGTTCCGGGAAGACTGCCGCAGCCGCGCGGTGGAGATCGCGCTCGCACGCGACGAGCGCCTCGCCAGGGAGAATGCCCGCGCGTGCGACGAGCGCTCGGCCATGCGCGCCGAAGACGCTGCGTCGCTGGCCGTCGCGCAAGCGCTCGCTGCACTGGCGGCTTGGACGCGAAACGTGGACCGCACGCGGATCGAAGAGCGTGCGATGGCCGCCGCCGAAGCCAGCGAGCGAGCCCGAGAGGCGGCGATCGCCGAGGCCGACAGGATAGAACGCGAGCGAGAGCGGCGCGAAGCGTTGCGGCGAGAACGCATCGAGGACGAGGCGCGTCGCGAGGCTGTCATCAAGGCGGTGCTCGCCCAAGAAGCCGCGATGCGGGATGCGCTCAAAAAGCAAGCGCTGGCAAAAGAAGAGGCGGACCGACGCTTGTTGGAGCAGCGGGAGGAAGACCGCCGGCGCAAACGCCTCGCCGACGAGCAGCGCCAACGCGCCACCTTGGAGCGCATCGAGGCAGCGCAGCGTGACGCTGAAGCCCGCGACGCAGCGGACAAAGAACGCCACCGCCTCGCTCAGATGCGCGAGAAAGAGCTCCAGCGCCAGCAGGAGGAAGCGCGGATGCAGCGTGAGGCAGCCGCTGTCGCCCAGCGGCGCGAGACACGCGAGCAAGCTTGCATGGAGCGAGTGGATCGCGAGGCCCAAGCGCGCGAGGCGGCGGACAGAGATTACGCGGCCCGCCTCGCGCGCTATCGACGCGAGACCCACGCGAGCGTCTTGCGGGACCTTGTCGTGTGGGTTCAGGCGCGCGAACATGAAGTGCGCCAGCGCCACCTGTCGGGGTACCTCATGGGCCTCGAAGACCGGCGGTCGTTCTTGCTCCGAAAGCGGTCTCGCGTCGACGCCTACGCCGGCGCGATCCTCGGGGTGGCCCACGCCTCGCGTGCTCGCTGGTGGCGTGGGTGGGTCCACATGCACATTGAGCGACGGGCGGCAAGGTGCCTCCAACGCTGCTGGCGCCAGCTGCAGGAGCGTCGTCGCCACGCCTATGCCGCCGCCCGCGTCCAGTCTGCGTTCCGAGGCTTCCACCTCCGGCGCAAGCTCGCGTCCGCCCTCGAGCTTGCCAAGGTACGAATCTCGCCTAGCTTTCTGTGCTTGGAGGATGGGATGCCATTGCAGTACATTAGTTTGTCGACAATGACGACTTTGAGTACGACCAAGTCGACGTCGATGCGTTCCTTGGGCCTGTGGACGCTCTCGACCTCGACGACGAGCCGCCACCAATGCCCCGCGTGGGCTGGGAAGCCACGCCCGAGACAGAGACAGAGCCTATCGAAGAGACCAGCGACGTCGTCTTGGCCGACGCCTCCAATGCCGTCATCAACAACACCCATCGAGCGGAAAATGAGGAGGAAGATGAAGCGCCTCCGATGCAGGCGCCGCCCGAAAGCACAGCGTCCAAGCTCTACCAGCGCATGCAGAAAGCGGTCAAGATGCACCGCCCCAAGCCCGCCCGCAAGCCGCCGCCAAAAAAGGATCGAGTCGACGACGCATCCACGAGCGTCACGTGGTCGACGAGCGGCAAGAAGGCCAAGAAGGTCAACGTGCCGTCGCTCGTCGAGCGACTGCGGCGCACGACCGCGGCCTCCCGATAGCCAGGCGCCTCCTAGTTAGTCGTTGTTGCTACTACTATTAGTCAATTAGTCGTTTTTGGACTCGCTGGCGTGGCCTTTTTTTGCCGAGTGACCGTTTCAAGTTGCCGAACGCCCGAGATGCGACGCCTCATCGGCCTCCTTCTCGCCTGCGCCGTCCCGATCGCCGGGCGCTTCATGCCAACGGCGTCGCCCATGTACGTCGTGCGCAAGCCGCTGCAGTTCATGCCGCACACGGCCGCGTCCTCGTGTGCCTTGGTGAACCGCTGCGACCAGTACCGCTTCATGCCCCGCCATACAACCAAGATCCAGCCACGCCCGACGACGCAGCTGCCGACGGTGGCACCGACAACAGCGCTACCTCTCGTGACACCGTTGCCGCCGACAAGAGCCACGCCCAATGCAACGACGGCGGCCCCAGGCGCCACGCCCAATGCAACGACAACCGAGCCAAGTCGGTCGCCGTTGACCGACCTCCCTGCCCCGTCCAGTGGGCCCGCCACAACGGCGCCGCCGCCGCCAAGTGCGACGCCGTCTCCAACGCCGTTGTACGAGAATCGTACGCCGAGCCCGCGTCCGCGTCGACGTCGAGTCCCTACGACGGTGCCAACGACCGTCCCAGCAGTGGTCAGTCGTCGTCGGGTCCCCTACCCATGCAGCATGACTCGTCCTTGTCGTCGGGCGCGATCGCCGGGATTGCAGTCGGCGCCGCCGTCTGCGTCATTGGCGCGGCGGCGCTGCTCGTCGTCTGGAAGAAGAAGCGAGTGAACGCAGCCAAGCACCAGCAAATCATCGAGGACCACACGACCGGCAGCGGCCAGTACTTTGCTCTCTTGTAGCAAAGTCACTTCAGTATCAACCTAGTATCGAGTGCGCTCCGAACTGTAATATTCCATTGTTGAATGTAAGTTAGTCGCATATCCCAGCCTCTCTTGCTGTCGACGAGGTAAGCATCATGACAGCGCTCGATCAAGACGACGACGCATCACTGCAAGTAGCGCTGGACGCGGCCGCAGTGCGTCGACTGGGCTTCCTTGAGTGCGTCCTTGAGCGACGCGTGCAAGGTGCGCAAGGTTGCATAATCGGCCGCCATCGTGCGTGCTGCGACCGCGCCATGCTTCTCGCGCGTCTCGAGCGACAGCGACAGCGCTGGCGACGCCTTGTGGTGGAGCAAGCGTGTCCCGACCTGGAGATGAATCGATCAGTGCATGGCAGATACCGCAGGAGAACCTCCATATCGAGGCGCCACGAGAGGTCATGGTACGCGGGTACGTCGAGCGACGGGTTCCACGCTGTCGCAGCCTTGATGGCCTCACGCTGGGCCTCGTAGTACTAGTGCATGCACCATGAGCAGTCGTAAGGCTGGCGTCGTACGGCTGCGAGCACGCCAAGGTGGTCGTGGGAGAGGCGCAGCGCCATCAACGATGTGACAAGCTCTTGGGCAGAGCTGCCTCGCTAAAGCATGGCCACATGAGACGCTAGTGGCGACCGTCCATGGCACCTTGGCGGCGTCGGCGAAAATGAAGCACAGGCTCGATGTGGCCTTGTCCAAGTCGACAGCGCTCCATCCATACTGCGCTATACAAGGCGTGACCATCCCAGCCTTCTGCAACAGCGGCGTACAGGCATGACGCGTGAGCTTGCGCTTGAGCTTCTTCTCGGCCGTTCCTGGCGCCGCAACGAGAGGCAGCATGCTGCAAAACTCCTCGAGCTCTAGCCATGGTCAAGAATCATGTATCCGCCACGGTCGGTGCGAGCGTCGTACGCTGCGGCGTAAGCGTCGCAAGGCCAGCAGCTCCATCGACCACGCCCTGATGCAGCCCCATGATGCGAGATCCTTTCTCACTCCGTCAACCGGGCCTTGTAGCATCGACTCCAAGGCGTCCGTTGCATGGCACATGTTGCCGACTCCACCGTATACCGTATGCTATTCCAGACATAGACCGAGAAACGTGGTTCCTTGACGACAGTAGCGTACTTAATCGAGCGCCGCGGCCGGTTGACGTCAAGTGCGCCAGTATACAAACCCAGCATCTCGGAGGCGCACTTTATCGGACTCGACCGCTGGGGCGCTGGCGTCTGCTCCATATATTTTCGAGCGGCCCAAGACGAGATGGCGACCCCGAACTTTGGCCGAGCGGTCCAGGACATGCCCCCGGCGGGCGGCTTCAAGGCGCCCAACTTTGCCCGCGCCGTGCCCGTGAGCCGCGGCCCGCCTGGCTGGGCCATGTTCGCCGGCTGCGCGGCCATCGTGACCTTTGGCTTCTACGTCGTGGGCCAGACCAACCAGGAGATCCGTGCGATGCGCAAGGAGCAGCGCGAGCGCCGCGTGGCCATGCTGCCTTTCTTGCAGGCCGAGGAAGACGCCGAGTACCTCCACATCGAAGCGCACTACTTGGACCAGGAGAAGGAGCGCATGAAGAACGTGCCGGGCTGGAAGGTCGGCGAGTCGCCGTACCACAGCAACACGTGGAAGGTGCCGGTCTGGGCACAAAAGTAAGGCTGCTCGCGAGATCCAGAAAACGCAACGATGTGGTGCTAAGCGCAAGAATGCACAGAAGTAGTATCTTGTTGTCATCTACGCCTCGTCTTGGTCGCCAAAGAGCTCGGCGAGCACGTCGTAGTTGATGTTCTTGGACTTGGCGCGTTGCTTCACCTGCAGTTTCTACAGGTACGAACGACGATTGCATGAGACGACGAATGCCACGCGAGATGAGGCGGCCTACATAAATAGCGTGGGCGCCAGTGTCGGGCGCCGGGACGTCCACGTCGTCGGCCTTGGCCTTCTTCGGCCGCTTGCGTTTCACCGCCGGTGCCTCCGCTAACCGCGCTGCCTTGGCCGCCTACACGCGCCCATCACGCCTCGCCTCGTCCATGTTCCCTACCTTCTTCTCGAGGTACTCGGAGTGCATGGTTTCCCAAATCTTGCGCTTCGCCGCCGACTCCTTCTCCGTGAGGATGAGAGCGTCGATCTCGTCGTCGTCAATCTCCGAGAGGCCCGACTCGTCCGGGTCGGGTGCATTCGCACTCCGCACCAAGCTGCTTTCCTAGATACAGCGATGACGAGTGCAACGCCATGCGGTCGGAATTACCTCCGCGGCTGCCGTCGACGTCGGTGGTAATGTCGGCAGGACCGAGACGGAGCCTTCGAGCTCGGCGACGCGCTCGTCGGCGGCAATGCTGGCGCCGAGCTCGGCTTCAAGCGTCTCAAAGAGCGCGCGCGACTTCTTCTGCTGCTCAAGCCAGCGCTTCGAGCGGTCGCGGACCGACGTGAGTTGGAGCTCGGCCGACTGCTTCTGCGCGTGCTGCAGGAGCGTGCTGTTGGCGTCGTCAAAGCCAAAGTCTTCGTCTTCGAGGAGCCGTTGGCCGGCGGTATCGGCCGTCTCCCGCCACGTCGCGTCAATGAGCGACGTGAGCGCCTTGCCTTTGAGGAGGCCCTTGGTGGGCGCCATCTCGAGCAGGAGCGACTCCATCGTTTCCTTCTCGCGGTTGCGCGTAAAGGCCGGCGGGTCGCACTCGAGGAGCTTGATTTCGACCTTGCCCATTTGACCAAACGTGAGCTGCGCCGTCGGCGTGACCGAGAACTCGGCGAGGCGCTTCCGCAACGTGACCTCGCCGATGCTCACGACGCCCGCGACGTCGGTCATCGTGCACTTGACGTTGTGGGACCGCGCGGCGATGAGGAGCGCGGCGCCGCAGATGCCGGACGGTCGCCGCCCCGTCTCCATCCAGTCGCGCTTCATGGACGAGACGAGGCGAAGGGCGGTGATGGAAATCACATGCATTTGCGTTCCGAGGTTGAGCTGCGACGCAAAGCGGTGGATGTACAGGCTCGGGTCAATGAGCGGGATGCTCAGCTGGAGGAGGCGGCAAAACTTGAGAAAGACCGCACCGAGCTGGAAGACCGAGATCTGCAGCTTGTCGCTAAAGTCGATGAGGAGGTGCGGCGACTTCTCGCGCCGGCAGACCACGTAGAGACACGCCGTGACGATCGCCTGCCAGCGCCGGCCGTGCGTAAAGTTGCGCTGCACCGCGAGGCCAAAGAGACGGTCGGCCGACTCGACGTAGTGGTCGCCGAGCCGCAGCATGCCTGCGACTTGCTTGATGCGTCGCCGGCCGTTCGCGAGCGTTGTCGCGCGGCTCTCGCTGTCGTAGTGCTTCCCGCCCGTGCCAATGTTGGTGCTGGGCTTGGAGGCCGTGCCCGAAACGAACTGGCCCATGACCGAGTGCGCGCCGCCCGACTCGGAGAACTCGACGCTCGAGACGATCGTGTTCTCTTCGACGACGGTACCGCAGCTGACGCAGACGGCCTCGCCGCTCGCATCGTACACGTCGATCTCGGTGCATTGGCACGTCGGGCAGACCAGTCGACCCATGCTGCTGCCAAGTAGAATCGAATCGAATGGTCTCTGATTGGACCCTGGATGTATTGTTGCTTTTTATAAAAATACACCGCGCGCCACCGTATGGAAACGCAAATACAATCAAGTCTTTTTATTCCGTTGGCCTTTCCCGCGGCCTCCTCGTACCATGGACTAAGAGAGCGCGATGGAGCAAGAGGGCCATAGAATGCTGCTATAGCACTCCTATAGCAGTGGTGCGATGGGATGTGCGCAAGACAGAAGAGGCCATGGACGACGCCGACGGCAGCTACGCCGAGGGAACAAGACCGCTTTGCTCAACGGCGTCGAGCAAGCAGCAAAGCGAGCGCCTTCTCCTCGGATGGTCGGTAGAGGCATGAGACCGGTGCATTGAAGGAGGTGTGGGCGAAGCGCATGCGGGCGACTGCGAGTACAAGTACAATCAGCAATGTGCCCAGGCTGGGAGCGGCAATAGAAAGGGGCCGTGCCAAGCTGGAAGCTCACGGTGAGAGTTGCCATGGCACACGCCAGCTCGGCTGTGCGCCGCCTTTCTTGCTATTATAGTACCGTAGGCCGTTGGCTGCTAGACTAGCAGCCAACGA